TCTCTCTCTCTCTCTCTCTCTCTCTCTCTCTCTCTCTCTCTCTCTCTCTCTCTCTCTCTCTCTCTCTCTCCCCCTTGCGGGCATGCACAAGGGCACCCTTGTATGTGCGTGATGGCGCCCATGAGTGCATGAGTGTGCAGATGCACTTGTGCACACGTGCGTTGTGCATGAGTGTGCTGTAAGGGTAGGGTCGTCAGGCGATTGAGTGCAGCCTCAATTTTTTTTTTTTCGTCCTCGTATCTTTATAAGGGGAGGGGTGAGGCGTGCAACAATAGCTGCCCCACCCCCATTTTTCCATGGATCCCTGTATTCAGGGGTGCTGTGCATTCCGTGCACGTGCATGGGTGCACTTGCAGTATACACCACGATAACATCAATGCCACAAGCAGCAGAAAATGTAGAAGAAAGGTTCACCATAGGCATTGTTAAATCCAAGAACGGTACATACATCTTCCTGTCGTTGTTGTTCCTCTGGCTCCTCTTCCTCCCTTTCCCTGCTATTTGGATGGCTTTTGGAGTGACTCTCTACGACAAACTTCGCAAGCATTTCATCTGTTACTGGATCCACCACATCCTGATGTCCACATCCCCACAAGTCAACAAGACGGGCCACACAGACAAACATGTACATTTGAATCCAATGCCTCCCTCAACACACTCACACAGGCACACGGACAGAGGCAAGGAGAGAGTAAGATACGAGAGAGAGAGAGGGTGGGGACAGGGGAGGAGGGGGAGAGAGACACAGAGAGAGAGAGAGAGAGCACAGGGAACAAGGAGTCAGCTAAGTCAAGCAATATTGCATAATTGCTGCTCTAGCACCTTTTCCTTTTCTCCGCTTGGTAACTCCATGCACTGTCGTATCCAATATATTATTCACATTCTTTTTCCGCTTACTCTACGTCTTTCCAGTCTTTTCTCCGTGTGGATTCTTCTAATTTTCTGTGGTTTAAACCACCACTACCTTTCCCGCTGTTGGGGAAACAGGAAAATAGCCTGCTCCTAAAAAATCGGGGTCTGGGCCCAACGACGACCACCGTTGATAAATCAAATTGACGGTCGTTATTTCGTTTCAGCCTCCTAAAAGATTGGAGGCCTACCCGAGGCTGACATGGGAAAAGGTAGTGGTGCTTTAACAGGATGGTAGAAGCAGCACATATGAATGTCACACACACCATGAACGCCACTGCAACTTTGACCACGAACACCACATGACACTAGCCAATGCCTTGAACTGAGAAAACATGGGCCAGTGTTCAACTCAAAAATTCATGAAACCTTCGTGTCACAGCTGAAGCCCTACAGTCTCAAGCATCCTGGCCACTCCTGCAAAATAATATGCTTTGGAAGGCAACCCCTGGGATTCTCACCCACAGCGCAAGCCCTCTGAGACTGTCCACAAACATGACATGACAACAGGCTTCAACACGAACCCGCCGAATCCTGTAGTTATAGTCACAAAACCCTCGTGGGTGTGCGTGTGTGTCACCAGGCATAGGCAGCATAAGTTTCCAACAAGGACCGTAGGGGACCGGAGGGGCGGGGGTAGTCAACGGAGGGGGGCTTCCTGGAGGGTCTTTTTTTTTTTTTCAGTCCTTTCCCCTTCAGCAGGTGCATCGGGCCCGCAATTCCTTTTTAGTTGAGATGACCAATGCCACTTCGACTTCCGTACAAAGGGGTTAAAAAATAACATACCCAACATAATTTCCTATTACGGGTGGAGAGGCAGCTGACTCCGCAAACGAATTTTCATAGAAATCCATGTGGTGTGTGTGCGCCAGTTTGACTGTTACCCAAAGCTGCTTCTGCTGTGCATCGACTTGCGGTCTCAACTATTGGTAGGGCAATTTCAAACGCTGAGAATTCACATGAATCATTCGGCAGAACCATGAGCATCACATCGCAAATGGAACACTCCATAAAAATGGACGGGGCAGATTCCAGTTCGATGACATTCACGGTACCTTAGGAGTTTTATTGTTGTCGGGATCAGAAAACAAAAGCAACAAAATGGACTCGATTTGGTCCTGACAGACTTGACTTCCAGATTGCCTCTTCACAAAGTCCTAGACTGCTCTAGTCTTGTCCATTGTTGAGATTCCAGTGCCACCATGGTTTACAAGCGTTAGGTTTGTTCTTGATTGGCTCTGGCTCTTCAACCTGGATGAATGGGCCTAAAGTCTCCCTATCTTCACTCTTCAGCGAACTGTGGGTTCACGGGCAAAGCCACTCTGTGCCTGGAGGCTCGCAAGAGTCAGTCAAAGGGTTGCTGCATAGACCCAGTGGATTTATCCACCACATCGTCCTACGAGGTTTAGTGCTGACAGGACTTCAGGTGTCCGGTATCTGGAACTGGCATCTTCACATCCAACGGTCCGTCTGCCACCTGGATCATTGTCATACTCATTTTCGACCTAGGTTGCAAGGCAATCAAGCCCACACATCTAGCTGGGACATCAGCAGTGGACAAACCTGCATGTACCAGTCCTGCGAATGTAGACATGTAAGAAACGAGCTATGGAGACACGTTTCCTTTTCTCTTCTTTTTTTTCATTGAGAGATCTTTCATCCCAGGTACAATATATTCCCTGCACATGTCAAATGGAGCCGGAGTCTGAGCTTGCTATCAAAACTTGTATCTGGTTGGAAGGGATACAGAGGAGGTCTCCGGGGGTGTAATAAATTTGAAAATCTTCTCCTTCTTTACGCAACTTCCGTAAGGAGTCTCAGGTGATCCTCAGCCAAAAGTTTTCTGTACCGTAAATCCATGCAGCAATGTGGAAGCATTTGTTTCTCAGAGATTTTTATTTTCTTGAAATTTTTCAAAAGGCTCCACTTCAGCATCATTTGGCGCACCCTGATGCTCAGGTAACCAGCCGGCCATCCAGACCTGGCAGGCCAGCGCCGTATTGACAGAAAAATGAGCATATGTCAGATGGACAATAATAGTTTTTGAAGCCTCCTCCCAACCTCCCTACCTTGATAACAAGGAGGCAATCAAATCTGGACAAAATGGGCTCCGTAAGCTCCACGTTCTGGCCGAATGTTTTGCTTGAATCATATCTGGAGAGTCAGCACATGAACAAATACATCAGTCAATGTAAATTAGCAAATCTTCCCAAAAAACAATAAAAAAAATATATTAAAAAAAAAAAGCAAATCAGTGCATAGTACTGCATACGTGGCTGCTCAATTTTCACGTTTCTTTGTCCACTGCCTCAGTTATTCTGAGGATAAACAACATAGCTGCATACAACCAGTTGAAGGCAGGCACATCCACAGAGAGCCAGCTAGCTGAAACCATGACTCACAAGTCATAACTCACATGAAACACAGCACACACAAACCGCCAGTTGGAGATGAACAGCGGTGATCAATTTTGGCTTTGGAAGTTTGGAGACTGTATTCATAGCACTGACCAAAGAACAGAAAGCAGTGAACACGAAAACCAAGCCCGAATATACTAGTTCCCTCATTCTAACTCAACATTTCTCCTCGCTATGCGAGGGATCAACCAAGAACACATACGTGTGAAGTCATACCAGCACTGCTGCATGAACCACTGTGACGCTTTATCTCTCGACCTGCGAGAATCAGGGAATCAACATACGTTTCAGCCGTCTTCTCATCTTTATCGCAGTAGCAGGGTAGCATTCAATGCAAGGTTTTCTCGCAAACTAAATGCCTGGCAAAATGCAGCCTGCTTATAGTTGTAATGAGCAGGCTGCGAAGGGTCTTCCATGTTTTGCTAGCAACTTGTGCCGTGTTTAAAAGGCTCCCACTCTTCCAGACTAAACCTGGTGAGAACAAGGGAATCAACATATGTTTCAGCCACCTTCTCATCTTCATGACAGTAGGAGGGTAGCAGGGAGGCATACGGTGCAAGGTCTACTCACAAACTAAATGCTTAACAAAATGCAGCCTGCTATAGTTGTAATGAGCAGGTTTATAGCAGGCAGCGAAGGGCCATCCATGTTTCGCTAGCAACTTGTGCCGTGTTTAAAAGGCTCTCACTCTTCCAGACCACCTCTTCACCTCTGCTACATGTTTTGTGTTGTTGGCAATGTGTGTGCAGACCTTCCCACATTCAGGATCATGGTTACCCACTGATGGCCATCAGGATCTGATCACTGTAAATGCATCAGGGCTATGCCCCTGTGACAATTGCCCAGTCAATTCCTATACCACAGGAAACCCATGGGAAAGAACAAAAAAGCGTTGGCGCAGATTACGACTTGCGATCTGAGCATTAGCATAGGTCATGGTACAATGGTGCCATCCTGAGGTGACTCCCCCTGGGTCCTCGCAATCCCTATGACCTCCCAATGGATGAGTACTATGGGCACCTCCTGAGGCCTGGCCACCACCCTCTACTACACCCTGGACCTTAAAAAACAAAAAAAGTACTGTCCCTACCTGTGCAGTAACCCCTTGCAGCATACCGAGTGACTCCTGACCCTGTTGCTAGCCTATACCAATGGCCTACCTTACCCCAAGAAGTTAACCCCACCCCAATCGTTTCAGAACGTACAGGTTAGCCAATACAGGCGCCATATGGACCTCGTGGTAAGGGCCTGATTGTTGAGATGGCAGCCAACTCCACGCGCAGATCACAATCTCCTACAGATTACCACCGGGAGTCACAAGCAAGTGCTGCCATGCACTAGGCACAATCACAGTATGGGCAGCTACAGTGTATACTGTGAATTGCAAACCTTTGCAGCACAGCAGTAAATGCACACTGTGTGGCTGAATAAAGTGGTGCAGGCATGTAGCTGCTAATAAACAGGCCATGAGTTCAAATCCTGCTGGCTGCCTCATTCAGAACGAAAAAGGGGTTGTCACCCAAAGTAACCCCCTTGCAATTACTGACTCTGAATCTCTAGCCTACCCACCAGGCTAGCTAACCCTGAGGCCACCCTTCCCTGCCTCTTCAGCAGTTTGTAACTCTATCATGCACAACCCATGAAGAGAGCTCATCAGAATGCATGAGCTGTCTTCTCCACCCTTTGATGCTTGGGACTAACTCTGCGAAGCACAAGAAACTAGATGCCTCACCCTCCAGAAAATGTTCGCTGTACATAGTCTGAATCTGACCAGATCAACTGTGAACTGACACAGGCATTTATGAACTGACATAGGCATATGTGAGGGTAATAATAACCTGAAATCCTAGTAGGCTTAAGAGCGTTTCTCTACGTTAAGTTCTACCCACCGTCCACCAATAGGATTTGCAGCTGCAATGACTGAACACCTTGCTTGAAGCGATGTCACAATACCGGCCTTCGAAATGGAAATACTTTGTTGCTCCATAGCTTCATGTATACTCACTCTGCGCATGAGCAATCACAACAGTCAACAGACACATTTCGCACGGAATGTTTAACAAACAGCAAAAAATGCCTGATCATAAACTTCATTCTTAGAATTTGACTCCAATTTTGGCCAGCAGGAAGAGAGGACAAGGGACCAATGTGAAATAACCTCTTGTTCCGAAGAAGTTCACCACCTCCCAATGACAAACAAATCTTTAAGTACCATGGCGTCAGAGAGGCAGTTGTCGATGCGGTGCAGTTTTTGTGTGTGCTGTGTGAGTCAGAGGACTACATCTCCATGCCTGACTGTTCACAAAAAGGGTGTGATGATGTGATCCCACCGGGAATGGTTCACTCTTACCCACATAGTACATACCTACTCAGGGCCGGTTCCACATTTCCAGCACAGCACTGCAGGTGGTGCATCATGCATGTGTAAAGGATAAGAGGAGAAGTTGGGGGACCCTGTTCTGTGGGCAAATCATTCCAAGTTCCAATCGGTCAAGAGCAGGTTCCCTCCAGCCTCAGATGGCATTTCTTGTCAAAACCGATGGCTGTCTTGATCAGGTTTGGAAGTCGACTTGTGAAGAATGACTTGTGAACCATGCGAAGTGATTACCGGACAAGTCTAGAAGCCACGGTTTTGATAAAGCCAGATAAACTAGCAGATGCACGATGGGCACTGGACCCAGGCGTACAGGCAATTCACATCTTTCAAACCGGTTACAGATGCAATTTTCCGAAAAAGAAAACGCCCTATTCCTCAGCTCCATGTCATCAGTCTGGAAGAAAAATGTGCACCCCTCAGCTACGGTAGCGCTGGTCAATCTGGACCATATACCCACCTGTCTTGATCGTTCATTTTGTCGAACTCATCAATGAGACAGACACCTTTATCCGCAAGCACAAGAGCCCCTCCTTCAAGTGTCCATTCATGTGTGACTGGGTCGCGATGAACAGCTGCCGTCAAACCCACCGCAGAAGCTCCCTTGCCAGTTGTGTACACAACTCGCTGAGCTGTCTTCTCCACATATCTGCATACACACATTGAGAGTGTTGTTTGACATTGAGAGTTAGTGTACACACAGACCAGGACTTTCCAGCATGCATCTTCTTGCAATTATGGACACCTCTATTCCAGGAACCCTGAGTGTGAATAGGCACTTAGTGGAAAATGTACCATCCAACGAAAGCATAAAATGGTCCAAACAAACGTCATGACGCAGTGCAAACATAAAGCATGACCTATGGGGTAGGAATGTGGAAGCAAGGATCAAAGCAGGAACGACGAGCCAGCACACAGGAGGAAGTTTGGACCAGTTTGCAGTCCAACAACCGTGGAATGGACTCAACAATCGAATGCAAGTTCAGACTACTACCTGGTGTTGTTGAACCCTAAACCCTATCCAGTGAGCCCACGGGAATGGCAAATAGGCTGCTGCTACTACCTGGCCTTGTTGAACCCTACCCTTAAAAAACTATATTGAAGCGGGTGGGGCCACGGAAATGTCAAATAGGGTGGCGTAGCTGGAAACTTGAAATGGCCCAGACAAACCATGGGCTGGGTCCAAACAAAGCAAAGACAGGGCCGATGAGGCCTGGCCAAACTCCCAAAATGCCAACAACAGTAAATTGGCAGTTGAACCACAGAGCAGAGGACCCGCAGGACCAAATCAAGTTATCGAAGCAGCCCTAGCACAAGCTGAAACACTGTTGTCAGGATGGAAAAAGAAAAATTAAAGAAACTGGCCAACCATCCCACCAATCAGGTACAAAGAGGGAGGGGGAGGGGGAGGGGAATGGTCAAACCAAACACTAGAAATATCCTCTGTAACAGAGTCCGTATGGGAAAGCGGGGAAACAACAGAAAACTCTGCAAGGTAGGGTGTAAAAAAGAAATGAAAAAAAGGGTGTAGGAGGATACCCCCTTGGAAATCGGTGGCGACAAAGCTGCTGAGTACAGCAGAGCAGGGGACATATCAGCATTTAGCCGTTTTGAGGACTTGACATATTCTGTGCCCCTTTTTTTCCATTTGCGATGAACCATTAGCTTGAGCAGCAACTCATAGCACACAGACTGCTCACTTCATCAGATGAGATTCATGAGCATAGAAAGCCAACACGCAATACGAGAACTTCAGAAATTAATCGAAAATTTGAAGTCTTATGCAGTACGTTTGCTTATACAAGCTGGGTGGCTATGGCTGCCAGCAACAAAAACCAAGAGAGCTATTCGATTTTATACTCCAGCATCACCTGACCTTCGGCCGCAAAAGATGTCCTGAGGGGAAACGAAACAATTAACGGTAAACGGTACTAAAACCTGAAAATAAAACTTTTTGTGTGGAATGTAATACAATATTCCAAACAGTTTTTGGCCCACCCCCCCCCTCCCCCAAAAAAAAACAGCCCATGTGGCTGAAAGCTAGACATGAAACTGTTGATCAACAGATTCCAAGATCGAATCCTGATATCAGATCCACTCAATAAAGTTACGCCCAACCGCCATTAACAAAGAAAACAAAAACAAAGAAAAATCCAGCCAAATTGACAGAATAACATTTTCATTAATTTGGAGGGGACACCACTTGATCTAGAGCAGACCCAGACAGTCCTACGGTGTGCGAGGATCCGCGTCCTCGGCAGGCCTAAGGGGCCCCTGTTGCATCTGTGCCCGCCCTAAGTGAAGGCGGGCCTAACAAGTCACGAGAAGCCCTTCGGCTGTTAATTTCGTATTTGGGGTCCAGGCAGTTACGTCGCGTCAGTTGGTTGAAGGAAAACACAGGCCGAGCAGCGAGGAAATTCCACGGCCTATCTAGGCTTTTCCGAAAGCGCAGGCCCTGGGCGAGATTCGCAGCCTCATACACAGACAGTTGGAGGCCCAACCGAATGAGGCCCAGTAGCTTCAACAGAGGCGCAGCATCCTGGGGCATATCGGAAGCTTCTGGGCCCAGGCCCAGGCCAGCCAGGCTGCGAAGGCAGTCAGGCTCTTTCCATATAGGAAAGAGCTCGCTGCCTGGAGCCTCATTCAGCACTTGCATGCTGGCGGCAGCACTACTGGCGTGGACGCTCATGGGCTGCTGCTGGTGCTGAGAGGCAAGGTGCTAGCGTGTGCGGTCGTGCAGGGAGCAGGGTGCTGCTGAGGGCAGCGCCATAGCCCAGCCTCCATAGCTGGATGGGCTTGGACAACAGTGAGGCGCAGGCGTGGTCTTCGGGTGTACAGAGGGAGGACGTGGGTGAAGAAGAGGGAGAGAGAGAAGGATGATGATGATGATGATGATGATGATGATGATGTGAGGGCACATACCTGGTATTGGCGATGGTCTGCTATGCGCGACATCTTCAAGTAGTTCGTGGGCTGCTGACGTCAACAGTTGCATTGTCAATTAGTAGGCAGACTGTAGCTGTGTAGGAAGTAGGCTGGGCGCTGAGCGCCAAGTAGGGAGATAGGGCCTGGACACTCGTGTTGATGGTGGCGAGAGCAAGCTCTCATTGACACTGGTTTTCAGTGTTACGATTCTTCATTGGTGTTATATTGGTGCATTTCTGCTTTCTGGACACTGTGATACTATCTGGCCTTCAATGTGATTGTGCATGCTGGACATTGTCATCTCGCTATTGCTCATTTTCCTTGCAGGTGTCCAGATCGTGCAGGTGCTGATGTCCAGATTGGCGCAGTGGTTCACCATGCCCAGGCAGTCCAGCTTCTTTTTAACTTCATGTTTTACAGTGTCCAGATCGTGCAGGTGCTGATGTCGAGATTGGTGCAGTGGGCAGGTTCCCCATACCCAGGCAGTCCAGATGCTTTTTAACTTTAAGTTTTACGGTGTCCAGATCGTGCAGGTGCTGATGTCAAGACTGGCGCAGTGGACAGGTCCACCATACCCAGGCAGTCCAGATGCTTTTTAACTCGATGTTTTCCTTTCTCGCTGTGTATCACACGCGAAGACCCGTAGCAATCATTATCATAAACTGTTTTGGGGACCTTTTCCATTCACACTGCCATCATACTTCGCGAGGGACCACCGCCTGTCGTGAAAGGGGGTCAAAGAGCGGGGACTGGATGTCTGGTGGTGAGAAATGACTATCGCTGCCTAACGAGTTCGTAGGCTGGTGGCACATTTGGTCAGAGGCTCAGGAGGAGATGGGTAGCACGTATGGGGACATACTGGGAGAAAATCAGGGTGTGCTGCTGTGTGGAGAAAATTAGACAGAGAAGATTAGACACAATCACACAGGTAGAAGGGACTGAGGCGAGGTGTGCATTGTACAGAATAGATATAGCGTGAATTTGTGTGAAACGATGCATTCTGTCACAGCAAGACGGCGATAGACGAGAAGCACCCATTTGGGTTGCACAAACTTACTTTCGAAATGGTACACTACCGCACACATATAACAGTTGATAAATAGAATCAGAGTTTGAGTCCTACCAGATACAAGAGGTTAGGGGATGCCTCCCTTTTATTAAAATTAAAAGAAAGAATGTTAAGGATGCCTCCCTTATATTAAAATCAAAAGAAAGAATGTCTTACTTCAGAAACTGCGACTTTGCGGTCCCAGGATCTCCAAGGAGAAGAACATTGATGTCCCCTCGTAGCCGATGCTTCTTGTTGACGTTTTTCTCTTGCCCGCCAAGCATTGCCAAGGCAATTGCAGTTTTGATGTTCTCATGACCGTAGATGGATGGCGCTATCGATTTTATAATCTGCAACAGAAGCAACGGAGCATAGTTGAGTTTATTATTATCTGCAATCAGACCGGTCAAAAGTATTCGACTTCTAAATCTGCAATGAACACATGGAGCACATTCAATGCAATCAAACCAGTGAAGAATATTAGATTTTATAATCTCCAAAATGAAAAATACCAGAATAGCTTCCCCGGTCTTTTGCCGAAGAGCAAGTCGGGTGTACTGGTTCTTCAAAGCCAACGGTTGGCAGTCCGAGACTGGTCAACCTGCCGACAGATCGACTCATCGGCACCACTGGTCGGCCACTTTGTCAGCCTAGTGCAAGGGTGGCAGGTCCACAAAGACTAGAGAGAGAGAGAGAGAGAGAGAGAGAGAGAGAGAGAGAGAGAGAGAGAGAGAGAGAGAGACAGACAGACACACAGACAAACACACAGAGAGAAGGACAGACACACACACAGACTAGAGAGAGAGAGAGAGAGAGAGAGAGAGAGAGACCCTTCGATGATCCAGCATCCCGGGGACGCCGGACCATCGACACATGAGAGAAAGAGAGGGAGAGAGGGAGAGAGACGGACAGACGGCGTCGCGGGGACGCTGAACCATCGGCATGAGAGAGAGAGAGAGAGAGAGAGAGAGAGAGAGAGAGAGAGAGAAACACACAGATAGACACATAGAGAGACGGACAGACAGACACTGACTAGAGATAGATAGATAGAAAGATAGATAGGGAGATAGATAGAGAGAGAGAGAGA